ATTAGGACATTTTCATAGATCCAAATCACTGCACTTTGTTCTGATTTGTCCCCCTCCTGCACTGTCCTTCATACGCCCCCCTCCTATCTTGTTGGTTCCCTCCCTCCCCAGTCCTCTTTCTTCTTCTGCTTTCAAGTCATTCTTATTCCATTTTCCTTTCTTTTTTTCTTCCTTGACCCCTCCCTTCAGATTTTTTCCTCCCTTCTCATGTTTCTCTTTGGCTTTTCATCTCACACACACACACTTCCCGACGTTTTCTACTTCATTACTGTTCCTAATTATTTTGGTGCTCAGGCCTAATTGGAGGTTCCTAATTATTGCTTTAAGTCCATTAGTAAGCACTCCTCAAGTGCATTTATGTTGAGGGGTACTCAGGTCAAGAACTCTGGGGGGGGGGAGTGGAAGTGTAATTGTTCAGGGGAACAAAAGGCACTAATGGGAGGGGAGGGAGGACAAAAGCAAGGTGGGGAGGAGTATATTCAATCTACAATATATACTCATAGGAAAATTAAAAAATAATATTTTTAAAAAGAATTTTATGAGACTGAGACAGCAGGATTGCTGTAGGTGTGAAGCTAGCCTGGGCTCCAGAGTGAGACTCTGTCTCAAGAAAATAAAACAAACAAAAGCCCCTCTAAGGATTTCTATGCAGATAACAGCTGATGAGGACACGAGGCTTTCTTCAGTGGTGGAGCTGATGGTAAGCTGCCCATGCTACTGTAAACTACCCTAATTGTGTTACCCCCAAAGTCTATGGAAGTTGAAAGGAGACTAGGTTAGGAAGAAGGGCTTGGTGGTACTGTAACTAGAGTTACAGTAATAGGGAGTGCAGGGTGTAATCAAAATAGGCATGTAACTTGCTCTGACACACACACAAATTTTGAATGGTCTAATTTCTGATATACTGATAGGAATAGTGTTTAACTGGGTTCTGAGGTTCCCTCCTGCCATTACTGACTCCTTTACAAGAAAGGTCAGAGAAGGAAGCCCGGCACTGTCAGAGAGGGCTTGTGCGCAGTCTAAAGAGAGTGGCTGAAGGCTGTGTTTGAGAACAGATGGATGCTTAGTTTTATGGTATGGTTCAGGACTGCATTGGACTGCCTTTATATTCTCTTTCCTCCACAGCCTCAGTCTTTATTCAGATGATCTGTTCTGCTTAGGTCTCAGCTGATCCCTGAGAGATTCTGTACCTTGTGAAAAGAGAATAGGTTAAAACAGATTGGCTGTAGGATTTTATTTTAAAAAAGATTTCCAGGGAGAGAAGGTCACAAGAAGATCATGCAAGTGTTTCTTCTGTTTTGTTTTCTGGAGACGACACGGTTTCTGTTCTCTAGTGGGAATCATAAAGAGAGCAGCGTCAGGACTGTTCCAGGATAAATGGCCTCTGGCCTCTTTTTCTTGGCTGTCTGGGAATACAGGGGATTGAATCCAAGCCTTCCTACACGCTAAGTACTCTACCACCCAGCTTCATCTACAGCCCACTAGATGGCCTCAGTTTCAGTGCTTTTTATTTTATAATTCAAAAGTCAGATTATTCCTTGTTCCCCCTGTCGACCCCCAGTAAATACTCTCTGGAAACATCCCTACAATCACACTCAATTATGTGTCTCTTTAATGCCTAGGTGAGTTTATTATCTTTTGAAATTAAAAGATAATTGCATCATTTCCCCCTTTCCCTTTCCTCCCTTCGTGTCCCTCTATGCACCCCTTTGTTCTCTCTCACATCATGGCCTCTGGACTCTTTTTCTTTAACTTTTGTTACACACACACATTCCTAAATATACAAACACAATCTGCTCAGTCTGTATAATGTTTACTTGTATGGATATAGCTTGACAAACAAAATTAATTATCACAGGAACTGTGATCCTACAGCAATTTCATAGTTTGAAAATAATATATAAGAAAGATAGATATTTACTTAGGCTTCTCCAGAAATTCAGTGATAAATTTGCGAGATGCACACTGGCTTAAACACCCAAGCCAAGGCCATGGATGTGCTATGTAAAATGAGTTTTATATGAACTCCCTGTATAAGGCAACTTAGGAAATGGATCACATATCTGTCATTCAGGAATCTAGAATACTTCCCAGTATAGTTACAACTCCCTAAGTAAATAAGGATATCTGTGGAATAGAATTGTGTCTCAAAATCAAGCAGATTTTAAGTTCATACCAAGAGGAAAGTGGGGGAAAAAAGGACCTATGGGTGTCAGATGTAATTGTAATGAGTCTACAGGAGTAATGGTGTTGGTAGTTTCAGAATTAATACTAATATGGGAGACTCAAACTTAAGTACAAATCTGATGAAGATTTATTTCAAACTAAGAGGAAGGAGCTTTTCTTTCTCTCAGATTTAAGGAGAGATGTGTTATAATCGCAGTGCTGCTTTTGATGAGGGTTGGCAGCATAGACCACATCTTAGTTCCGTTGTGCTGCTATACCCGAGGCTGCAAAACTGATAAAAATTTGATCGATTTCTTAAGAGTGCTGGAGGCTAGGAAGTCCAACACCAAAACAGTAGCGGATGCGGTTGTCTGGTTAGAAAAATTCTCTGCTCCAAGACAGTTTCTTGCTGTTTTATCTATCAGAAGGGAGCAATAAATACTGTATCCTTACATGCGGGGGTGGGGTGGGGTGGGGATAGAAGACCAAATGCTGTATGAAATATGTTATTTTGTTGTTGTTGTTTTTTTGATTTTTCGAGGCAGGGTTTCTCTGTAGCTTTGGTGCCTGTCCCGGAACTAGTTCTTGTAGACCAGGCTGGCCTCGAACTCACAGGGATATGCACGCCTTTGCCTCCCGAGTACTGGGATTAAAGGCATGCGCCACCACCGCCCAGCTTGAAATATGTTTTATAAAGATCTAAATTTCTTTCAGGAGGAAGTATCCCACAGGCCTGATTAACTCTTAAAGATCCTATCTCCTTTTATGTTCTTGTTTTCCCCCCTTTCTGATTTTTTGAGACATGGTTTCTCTGTGTAACAAAGAGCCCTGGCTGTCCTGTAACTCGTTTTGTAGACCAAGATGGCTTGGAACTCAACAGAGATCAGCCTGCTTCCAACTGACTCCCCAGTGCTGGGACTAAAGGCGTGTTTCACCACTGCCTGGCCCAAGCCTCTACCGCTTAATGTCATCACATTGGCCACTAAATTTCAGCAACCGAATTTTGAAGGGGACATAACCATAGAAGCCCAAAATTAATCCACTTATTAAAATATCAGCTTAAGATGTAGACGCTAAGAAACTAGGATGGTGCAAAGAGAAAAGCATTCATTCATCTGAGTAGCCTATGGCATGCCAGTGGAAGCCAGCGTAGGCATTAACAGCAAAAGAGGAACTCCCTGTTTTCATAGATGGGACATTTTATCAAGGGGAAAGGAGTCAGTTGTTTTAACATTTTTCTTTCTCAAATTTTTATTAGATTTAAAAGACACAATACTAACTTATAAAAGATATCGAAACCAAAATAAAAATTATGCCCATTGAATGGAAAGAGTTAAATGTGTACACATGTGCGAAAATGGAATCCGACAATATACTCAGTAAGAGATACACCTAGCAGGAAATTTGAACAGCAACTCTTAACAAAACATAATCAAGAATTTAAGATTTTTTTTTAAATAAATGATTAGATGTGGATTCCTTCAATCATGAGGTTTGGTATTTTTTTTTTATTTACTTAACTTTATTATGTTTGTTGGCGTGAAGGTGTCAGATCTCATGGAACTGCATTTTCAGACAGTTGTGAGCTGCCATGTGGGTGCTGGGAATCGAACCCGGGTCCTCTGGAAGAGCAGTCAGTGCTCTTAACCGCTGAGCCATCTCTCCAGCCCCGGTATTTTTTTAATAAAGCATAGATGCTAGTTATTGAGATTTTATTATACAGCTATTTTCTGGTGAAAGTAATTCTCTCCCTCTCATGGGCCCCTTTCCAGTTTCCTGGCATCCACCCTCCCTCACTCCCACAGCGACATACGTACAGTAAATTAGACGCTAAATTTGTCGTTCTTGTCTGTTTGTCAATCTGCAAGTTGGGCAGTGATTGGTGTCTGTAATCTCAGCACCCAAGAGGCCTAGGAAGGGATGTTGGTTCAAGGCTAGCCTTGGTTATATAGCAAGACCCTCCCACTTTTGAATTGAGGATGACGAGTCGTCAAAAGACACCTTATCCGGGCCACGAATGATGCCAGTGTAAGAGTTAAATCTATGCAGGGTTAATTATCATCACTGAGATTGTAATCTATATAATGTTTTGGCCGTCATGCTGCCAGGCAGCTTTTAACTAGTCTTTTGGCTCCTTTGTAAGCTGAAATATAAGAGCATAATGATACACTTTGTAGTCGCGGCACTTGGAAGGTGCAGGCAGGAGGACAGAAGTTCAAGGTTACAGGTGGTTAAATAGTGAGTAGGAAGCTAGCCTGGCTACGTAAGACCCAGTTGAAGAAGCACCCCCGCCCCCCGCACCAATATATATATATATGGACGCGACACAGAACTGTCTGCAATCATGATCAGAAGAGTGTAAAAGACCGGCTTGAGAAGTAACGCTGCTATTTCTTTGCAACCACACTTTCACAAGCAGCTCCAAAGCTGATGGTGAAAGGCGCGTTGATTTTTCAAACTCTTCTCTGAAGAGGCATCTCGGGGAGCTAAGAGGGAAAACATGCCAAATCCCAAATCCCCCGAAACCTAAATCCCTTCCAAAGGACACAGCCTCAGAATCGCGCCACTTAGAGACCCAGATAGAGCAGACGGCCAGGCATCACTGCTAACTAATCACCCGAGGGCACCAGCCAGGGACTAAATGCCATCACTGTGTTAGGGAACCTCAGACAGCCTTCTTCAGTTCCCACTCCGGAGTCTTCGCCCTCCGCTGGTCACCAGAGTGCGTCAGTGGAGAGTAACCGTCAGAGGAAGGGAAAAAATGTCCACCACGCGAGATTTCGCGGCGGGATTTCGAAGTTGGAGACCGGCTGCGGCGCGTGCGCAGTGGTCTCACAACCTCGGGGTGGCACGCGGGGAGGTAGGCTGAGACGTCTGAGCCGGGGAAGCCGGCATACTGGTGCTGCTTCTTTTTTCTCTTGCCGCTACTCTCTCAGTGTGTGGGTCTTAAAAGTCCCAGGAGGCGCGGAGTAGCGAGGCTCAACTCCGTCGGTGTGTGCGCCCGGTATAATAAAAAAGCCCTCACGTTCCCACAGTAATTGGAGCGGTGCGGCCGCCGTGACAACAGGGATCGTTGCTCCCAGTCCCCCTGTGATCGTAGCCCCCAGGCACACACTCCCGTCCCCCGAGATTCGGTCTCGAGCGTCCCTCACACAGGTCCGCCCCTCCCCGCCACCGCCTCGATTGCTCGCGGCCAGTTTGCCGGCTTCGTCCCTGGGGGGCGTCCCCACACTGAAGCAGAGAAGATGGCTGGAGGACGTCTGCTGCTGGGGGGCGACTTCCTGTCGCCGCCGCCGCTGCCCCCCCTCCCGCCGCCGCCGCTGCCCCCCCTCCCGCCGCCGCCGCTGCCGCCCCTCCCGCCACCCCCGCCCGAGCCAGTGCTGGAGCAGTGGCGCTATAGCCACGAAAGTGACTGGCAGTGGGCTCTGCGGCGGAGCTTCATCTGTCGGCACCTGCACCGCTATCCCGGCGCTGCCCTCGACCAGCTCCTCGCTCTCTCCGCCGCCTGGACCAACCACGTTTTCCTGGGCTGCAGGTGAGTCTGGTGTGGGGCGATCGAGTTAGGGACAAGGGTGGGAGATGAGTGACGAGGGTCGGCTTGGGGATGGGGGTGAGGGACGGATGGTGGAGTTTGGGTTACGGGATAGCCCAAGGGAAGGAGAGGGTCAGCAGAAGCGGTCCAGATAGGAACAGGGGCAGGATGCGGATGATGATAGAGCTTGGAGGCTTAAGATTTGAAGATTTGCTAGAGAACACGAAGAAGCTTCACTAGTGGGTTGGGGGGTAGGGTGGGTGACCATGGTGGCAGGCAATGAATGACATGACAGCACATGAGGACACAGAGATGCCCCTCCAGGACCAGAAATGGAGATGAAGTAGCTCCTAGAAGAGGATTATTGAGAGTTAGTCGTGGTGATTGGTGCTCAATAGCAGAACCTCAGACCTGCATAGGGTCTTCCAAGGATGCGGCATCCGCAGAGGATATTCGATGGGGCTTCAAGGGGAGGACAAACTCCGCAGCTCAAATACTAGTCTCCCGGCCACTCTCTTCCATCTCTACTAGATTAAATACCCTCCTCTCCTTGCACCCCCTCCCCAAGCCAGGTCTTAGAGTCTTCTCCTGGGGAGGCGGTGTGTCAGGTCTCTGACCTGCAGTGTCAGGCTTGCTTGTAGATTTGCGCATAACATACTCAAACAAAGAAGTGAATCTATCTGCTGTAAAGATGCACCTTAAATGGGCTAAGAAGAATTAGCATTTCACTTCTGGATGAGGTCTTAGGGGTGTATATGTCTCTTTCTCTGGTTCCTCCTTTCCTAGAATCTGGTGGCTTCTAAACAGGCCTCTTGGAAAGCACTTTGTGTTCTGGGGAGACTGCGGTATGGTTTCAACGCAGTTTTGGTTTTGTGTGTGTGTTTACCAGGGTGCTTGGGTCCTCTGTCCTTCAAAACCTCGAAATTGGCCTTATCCTAGACTAATTCCTTCAGAAGACTGGAAAGCGTCTTTTTTTTTTTTAATATTCCTGCCGAACAGTCAATTTGTTTTTATTAGGAAGATGAGAAATTCTGGAAAATGATCAGATTCGATCCAGCCAGATCAGTTCTAGGAATAATTGTAAACAACGCAGATGGAATTGTCTGCTCCTACCTTAATTGCTGAACATGGCACCCAGCGTGAAACTTTGCTGTCACAGAGTTTTATTTTTTCTGTCTTCTCTAAGTTGACATAATTTCTGCCTCTAGAGATAGTGATCATTTCACTGGAGGAGCTGGGAAAGCCTCAACAATTAGTCATCAGATAAATCTGATTTCCCTAGCAATGTTCTTGCAGTAAAAAAGGTACCTTTATCATATAGTCCTAAGTCTTAATACCACAAAAGGCTATAGGGAATCAGAATCCTAAAGCATCTTTAATGGGGGAGGCTAACCGTCCTTTGTGTTCATAACTAAACTTACCTTCCTGCTAGAATACACATTGGGAGGGGGAGGACTTTACTCTCTTTTTCATATGCACATCTTTGTCTTCAGTGCCTCGCAGCAATCTTGTGCAGTATTCTGCTTTAGCATAGTATCTGCTCAGTAAATGTCTGGGCAGTGGTAGATGTAGACAGCTTTGTAGTATATAGCATATTTTCAACCCTTTCTTTCCATCTTACTCACCATCCTAGAGGTTAGGAAGTATCTCCCTCTTACAGCTAAATCAACGAAGGCAAAGAAGTTACTTTGCAAGTATTTCTAGTCTGTTGCTCTCTCCACTGAGACACAACTGCCGTGTTTAGGAAGGATGGACCATAAACAAAAGCAGGTAACTGACGGAAGTCAAATCTCTCAATCTCAGGCTTAATCCCACGAATAGAATGCTTCATGCATAACCAGCGTATGAACACAAACCAAGCGCATAGTAGTTGACCTTAAAAGCTCAAGCACCCAGGATGTGTGTGTGCCTATCTGCAAATCCTTTGTTTAGAAGTCAGCATGTTGCAATATGCCTACATCACTACAACAATTACCATAGAGCTATGAAATAGATGAACTGGAAAGAATTGTTTGCATTGTATCTGACTGTTCTACATAGAATGGGAAGAGCCCAAGATGACTTTGGAAGTTAGCAACTCAGTATGGTCTTCTCCTTTAGGCTTTGTTAGCTCTTTCCTTGGGTGCATAAAATCTACATTCTCAAAGTTGGCAGGGTTATTTTTGTTTTGTGTGACAGACTGCTCTTTTTGTTTTTTTGAGACAGGGTTTCTCTGTATAGCTTTGGAGCCTGTTCTGGAACTCGCTCTGTAGACCAGGATGGCCTTGAACTCACAGAGATCCACCTGTCTCTGCCTCCTGAGTGCTGGGATTAGAGGCGTGCACCACTATCACCCGGCTCAGACTGCTTTTTTCTAAGTAAATGCATTAGTGTGGTGGCGCAGCCCCTTGTAAACTCAAATTTTTAATTAGTTGTTCAGGGGATTCCATTTGATTAGGAGATGGGATAAAAAAAAAGAATATCTGAAAATTCTATCACCTAGAGCAAGAAGAACTCAAGTGCAGGGATTCAGAGCGTGTTTCATTCCTTTTGGTGATAGTGGCCATTTCCATGGGACAGATTTGAATGTGTGTGCGTGCATGCGTGCGGGTGTGTGAAATATGTTTATGTAGTGAGTAGCCTTGACTGTGAGGCCAGAGATCGGGATGGGTGTCATCTCTATGACTGTCTGTTTGTTTGAGAAAAATTCATGGAATCTAAAGCTCACCAGTTAGCTTAGACTGACTAGTCTCTGAGCCTCTGGGATCTGTCTGTCTCCTTTACGAATAATGTGATTATAGACCGTGCAGTGTGTCACCTTGCCCTGGTTTTACATGGGTGCTGGGGATTAAAACTCAGGTCCTCTTCTGTAGCAAGCATTGAGCCATCTCTCCAGCCCTTTAATGTCCTCGTGACTCTATAATTGTGGTTCTTACATATAAGCATGCAGCAAAACACTTGTTTTGGATCCTGCGTGTGCTAGCACAAGACTTTCATCCTTGTACTCAGGACCTGAGAGTGAAGCAGGATGGTGAGTTTAGCTTGCCTGGACTATAGAAAGATACCCTGTCTAAAATAATAGCAACAAGAATAATCACCTGTTAGGTTTATTAAAAGACAGGTTCCTGGGCCCCTACTCCAAGACTTCCAAATCAGAAGGTGTGAAGAAGGGCCTCAACATTTTTATTTCTGTCAGGTTACTAGATAATCCTTATACTTTGACTTGAGGACCAGAGTGAGAAATTCTACTTTATAGGATAATGTTTTGCGATCTGCATTTTTGTGAGACAAACTCTCATGCAGCCCAGACTGTCCTTGAACTTGCCACGTAGCTGAGGATGATCTGCAAGTTCTGCTTTTCTTGCCTCTGCCTCCTGAGTGCTGAAATCATGGGGTGCCCTGCCATGTCCGGTTTATCTGGTGCTGAGGATTGAACCGAGGGCTTCGTGAATGCTGACCAAGCACTCTTTCAGTTGAGCTGTGTCTCCAGCCCTCCACTCCACTTTTTAATAATCTTTCTTCATCCAAGCAACCAAGAAGCTCAAAGCTCCCTTTACTTTTTCTGTTTTATAAAAGCAAGCCACCTATCAAGAAATGTCGCTTGATGTGATGGCCCATGCCTGTAATCCCAGAATTTAGAAGTCTGGGACAGGAAGAATTTTCTGAAAAATTTCTAAAGCAGTTCAAACCATTAGTCTTGTGGCTAATGCAAACTTACAGTCCTTTGATCAGCTACATATAGGACACTTAAATAATCGTGCATATCAAGGCCCGGGGTGTCTGCAGCTTTACTTACACAGTATAGCTAGTGTGTTTACTACTGTATTTGTTTTGCAGGACTGAGTGGTAGAATTTATAGTCTCATGCCTGTTAGCTAAAAACTGTACCACCGAGATCCACCCACAGCCATTTATGAAGGCACAAGTCAGCCAGGCGGTGGTGGCCTTTAATCCTAGCACTCAGGAGGCAGAGGCAGGCAGATCTCTGCGAGTTTGAGACCAGCCTGGACTACAAGAGCTAGTTCCAGAACAGGCTCCAAAGCTACAGAGAAACCCTGTTTCAAAAAACAAACAAACAAATAAATAAGAAAAAGAAGGCACAATGTCCAGATTCCCTGGCATATGCAGTTTTCCAGTCCTAATCCATAGGATTTAGAAGCAGTTCTGGCATACAAATCCTGGCTTGCTTATTTGTGTTAACCTATTAATAGAGAAATGACATGAAATTAACTTAGCTACCTTGACTTCTTTTCCTTGATGCATTCTGAAGCGTTTGGAAAGTAGATTCCAGTTAGATATATATTGTGAAATTTAACTTTACACATTGATACACAAGTCACTAAGGAAAGCGGAGTGGGGTTTTTTGAAAATTTCACCTATAGTCTATACATATATTATTAAAAGATTTATTTGTTTGTTTATTATGTATACAACATTCTGCCTCCATGTATGCCCACACACCAGAAGAGGGCGCCAGATCTCATTACAGATGGTTGTGAGCCACCATGTGGTTACTGGGAATTGAACTCTCACGACCTCTGGAAGAGCAGCCAGTGCTCTTACCACTGAGCCATGTCTCCAGCCCAACATTAAGCATCTTGTAAGTAGTTTTGAATGTCACATTTTGTGTTTTGAAGCCCTAATTTTTATTTCTCTTTCTTTTCTTTCCTTCCTTCCTTTCTTTTTTTCTTCTTTTTTCCCCCGAGACAGGGTTTCACTGTGTAGCCCTGGCTGTTTCACTGTGTAGCCCTGGCTGTTCTGGAACTCACTTTGCAGACCAGGGTGACCTTGAGTTCATAGAGATCCACCTGCCTCTGCCTCTTTTTTGTTGTATTTTTTGTTGTTGTTTGTTTAGACAGGGTTTCCCTGTATAGACTTGGCTGTCCCAGACCTCTATAGATGAGGCTGTCCTCAAATTCACAGAGATTCACCTGTCTCTGTCTCCTGAGTGCTGGGTTTAAAGACGTGCACCACCACTTCCTGATTCAGCCTCTGCCTCTGGAGTCTTCTGATTAACTGGAGAGT